TGACAGCTGGGATAGGCTCCAGCGCCCCCCGCGACCCTGAAAAGGAGAAGTGGAAGCGAATGGATGGATGATGTTAAAGCAATTGGTCTGTAGGTTCCTGGCTTGTATCATCCTTCTCTGGTTTATGTGCCACATGAGCTTTGTGGTAACTTCCCTCCCTCCAAACTCTATCCCTAATATTAATTGAGTTATGAATTTTACCAAAGGTTTTTGCCATCATATGTGCCTTTTCTTCATTTTTCACTGCTGTAACTTCCCCATCATTTAATACTGGATGCCCATATTCTCTTATAATTGTATTCATCCTTCTGATCATTGACCATACCTTATCAGTCTCTGTCTCTCTCCCCACAGAATTACAAAAGCCCCTCCAACTGTCCCTCGTTGCATTTTAATGGTTTTTCTTACATTAGCTCGTGACTTTTTATATTCAACAGGATTCTGATCATTCTGATTTCTTTTTAACATTTTTAAAGCTTTACTTCATCACTTCATCATATTCCTTTGTCCACCAGTATACAATCTTTTTGCTTCTACCTCCTTCCACTTGACTTGAAAGGAATCCATGTTTATAAAGTCAACAAGAGCAATGTGCTGAGCTCATTGTGGACTCAAATTCTTTGTTGTGAGGTTCTGGTTGGTTTGAAAATATCATGTGATTCAGCAAATGACCAGCTTGATTTCTTTATTTTTTGATTATTTATGATTAACTATTTATTAAACGTATAATATTCATTCACTTATAACACAATAACAAAATCCAAGACACAAATATTAATATTTTTAAGAAATATTAAAGAAAGTAAAGAGAGAGCAACCTCAGCATTCAAAGAAGACAGACCTTTGCTGCATCGAAGGAGTTGCCTCAGGGGGACTTAGTGGCTCTCATGTAAAAAGTCCTCAGCAAAATTTTGGTTTCTGTCCAATTAAATAGATTCAAGTTTACTAACTAAAAAAAGTTGTTGGGCAAAATACTTTTTATATGCCAGGGTTACACTATCAATTTCCACCTGAATGCCACAGTCCAGGGTAAGTACAAGTGTCACGTCCGGTGTGGCAGACGTGTGGAGTTTGTAGAAAGGACCCAAAAGGCGGCAGCTGTGGTGCAGGTGAGTATTTATTTACAGGAGTGGGTACAAACAGCAATGGTGGGTGAACATGAAACTGGAAAACCTAAACTGGGTAAACTAACAAAACAAACCAGAAACGAAGATGCAGGGAGGTACGG